TCAAAGTCCATTTATGAGTGAAAATATGTGGTACTCAGTTCTTTGTTTCTCTGATAGATCACTCAGTATTATAGCCTCTAAGTCCATCCAAGTTGCTGTGAAGTTCATAATTTTGCCCTTCTTTATGGCTGTGTATGATTCCATCATGTATATGTACCACATTTTTTTTTATACAGTCGTCTTTCAATGGACAGCATGGGTGGTTCCATGTTTTTGCTATTGTAAATAATGCTGCAATAAACATGTGTGTGCAGATATCTTTTTCATAGAATGATTTGAGTTCCTCCAAGTATATTCCCAGCAGGAGAATTGCAGGTTCGTATGGAAGGTAGATTTTTAGATCTTTTGGGAATTGCTAAACTGTTTTCCACATAGGTTGTACTAGTTTACACTCCCACCAACAATGCAGAAGTGTTCCCTTTTCCCCACATCCTCTCCAGCATCTGTTGTTGTTTGAGTTATTGATGATGGCCACCTTAACTGGAGTTATGTGGTATCTCAGTGTGGTTTTATTTTGCATTTATAGCACCTGTTTTTATTGAATTCTATACTGTGCATGTCTTTCATTGGTAGTAACTATAACACTCTATTGGGTTTTGTGAATATATACTACCCTCCTGAAAGATTGTGTCACTGTTTATTTATTTGGCCACACCCAGGCTATTCCAGTCTTTTGCTCTTATGAAAAATGTTGAGATGAATATTTATATTTCTTATATTTCTCTGCAACTTTTTCACTTTAGAAACTCAATTGATTTCTTCTTAACTGGTTTGATGAATTATAACAATTCACATTATGTATTTATTTGTAAAACATACTGGTGCCCATGACATGCACCCGCATACATACACACATAGTGTTCAGGAGGTATTCTATTTCATTGAGTTAAAATATTTCTCATTAAAAAATACACATTTTCAGAGTCTATCAAGATCATCATGTTTCATCTTTGACCTATTAACAGATTTTCTGATACATTTCTGTCTCTTTGGAGAAATACATCTTAACTTGGGTTAATGTTGGCAATGTATTGCTGAAATGCTTTGTAAACACTTTTGTTCCGTATGATTTTTGGATTAATATTTATAAATAAAAGTTTCTTCTCGTTTTATTACATGTGTGCTTTCTTTGTTAGGCTTTGATATCAATGTAACTGATACTGTATGTGTTAAACCAATAGGGAGGTTTTCTTAGTTTTTTTTCTTTTTCTTTTTCACTTTAGAATACAGTCATGTATCAATTAACAGTGGGAATATGTTCTAAGAAATACATTGTTAGGCAAGTTTATCACTGTGTGAACATCAAAGAACTTACACAAACCTCGATGGTGCAGTCTACTACATACCTAGGCTGTGTGAAATAGCATATTGCTCCTAGGCTACCAACTTGTACAGCATGTTCCTTTACTGAATTCTATAGCCCACTGTAATACAGTGGTAAAGATTTGTGTATCTAAGCATAGAAAAGGCACAGTAAAAATACACTGTTGTATATATGGTCCATCACTGACCAAAACATCACTATACAACACATGACTATAGTTTAAATAGTGTAGAAATTACTCATTTCTTGGACATAGGAAAAAAAATGTTGGTCTGTGACATACTTCTCTGTATTATTCATGGTTTATTATTTATATTTTCTACCTTCTATTTGGTCAGTTTTGGTAGAAAATTGCATATATATATAATATAAATATATGTGTGTATATAAGTGTGTGTGTGTGAATGTGCGCGTGTGTATATATATTATACACTATAGGAGCCATTCTTTTCCCCAGATGTTCAGAATTCCAGTATAAAGATGTATAAAGTGGCTGGATTTATAATTCCTTTTTTGTCTTAATTTTGTGCTTTTCTTCTTGATTAAAGTAGTATTTGATAGTTTGTTTATATTTTAAAAATAGTCTTTGAGTGTTCTGATCAATCTTACTATTTTAATTATATAAATTGCTTCTATTTTAACATTAATTTCTACTTTTATTGCTATTTATTTTTTCTATTTTACTAATGCTTATTTGATTTTTTTCCCCATGTTTCAAAAGGAATGTTTAATTAACATTCATCACTCTATTGTTTAGTGATTAAAGTGTTAATTTTTCCCCAAGAGCAGTTTTGGCCATTTACTGTTGGTTGTGTTAGGTAGTGTTCTCATTTTAAATATTTGTTAGATATCCAGTATTGATTCCCTCTTTGATCCAGATGTTATTTAGGAGATAATTTAAATTTTTAAGTGCTTAGGTTTTATTTTTGTTTCTGCTTTTTTCATTAAACTCTAGTGTCATTATATAGTTGTCAAAAAACATGGTCTCTATCAGTTTTGCTTGTGGTAAATTTCACGGTATTTTCTTTGTGGTTGACTATATGACTTTCTTAAATGTCCCATGGCATATTAAAATAATTCATTCTTACACTTTTAGTGTATTTCATGAATCACCTTTTCTCCGTCACTTGAACTTTACCAATTAGTGTAGTTCTTGGAGTTTTTTGTTGTTGCTCATTTATTTTTTGTAATTACTTTAGTTTGTGGGTGTATGTGTTTTTTGTTTGCTTGTTTTTTGAGTCAGAGTCTTACTCTATCACCCAGGCTAGAGTGCAGTGGCACAATCACTGAGTACCAGTCCCCTGGGCTCAGGTGATCCTTCCACATCAGCCTCCTGAGTAGCTTGGGACTACAGGCATGGCTAGTTTTTTGTTTTTTTTTTAATTTTTTTTGTAGAAATGAAGTCTCACTCTGTTGCCCAGGCTGGCCTCGAACACCTGGGCTCAAGCGATTCTCCCGCATCAGCCTCCCAAAGTGCTGGGATTACAGACATGAGCCACCACAACTAGCCAGTTACTTTAATTTTGAAAGACAAAAGTAAAATTAAATGCCTGAGTGAAGTTTTAAATTAATGAGACTCGATAACAGTTCAAAAACTCTATCACATACTTCTTACCATTACTGTTGATCTGAATCGGGAATCATTATTCTTACAGATTAAAATTAGAAGTCCCACTTAGCGTATAGGGCTAGTCACTCCTTTACTACATTCTGTCCCTGCCTCTTTTCCCCTGTACTCTGCACTCTGAGTGGATCTCAGTTGCTGGCTGTTATTGAGAGACTGCTGGACCCCTCAGAGCCAGAGCCTAAGTGATGGAGTGCATCATCTTAGAATCTTTTATAAATGTTTTGGATGCTCTGTACACAAGAGAGCTCGTCACATGCCATCATAGGGATAGGAACCTTCTTTTTTTTTTTTTTTGCTGACTGTATTTCTTTTCTTACTCTCAGGTCAAGTAACAATTTTATTTGTTTATTTTTGGAAAGAGGAAATGTAGAGGATGTCTTTAGGTTTTTACACTGTAACTGTAGGATCTCCTCTCTCCTGCTCCTAAGGAGGTAAACAGGCAGTAGTCTCAAAATTCACTTCCTCAAACTGCTTGGTGCCGTTACCAGATTTTGAATAGTGATTTTTCTCATTGAGACGAACTTCTCCCTTTGAATGTCACATTATTTTTAAATTTTGCCAACCTTTTTGAAGCAGTTCTGTTTCTGAGCAATCTTATGGATGTAAAAGTAGAATTTATGTATAATATTCATCAGACTTTCTTTGAAAGAATTGATTTTGAAAAATTGAAAGTTTAAGCCAGGTGTGGTGGCTCATGCCTAGAATCCCAGCACTTTGGGAGGCAGAGATGAGGGGATTGCCTGAGTCCAGGCATTCGAGACCAGTCTGGGAAACTTGGTAAGACTTCATTTCTACAATAAATCAAAAAATTAGCTCGGTGTGGTGGCACATGCCTGCGGTTCCAGCTTCTTGGAAGGCTGAAGTGGAAGGATCACCTGAGCCCGGTAGATTGAGGCTGCAGTGGGCACTGCATTCCAGCCTAGGTGATAGAATGAGGCTCCAACTTAAAACAACACAAAGAAAAAAAAAAGAAATGTTGAAAATTTAAAGTTGAGGGTATAAACTAGATTGAACGAGATCACAAAGTCACATAGGAATTTTATATAAATTGGGTTCTTCAGCCAAAGAAGTGTAGAAAACACTAATCTAAACAAAGTTAGAACAGGATTCTTTATTGCAGGATGTCTCAGAGCCTTTAATATGCATTCCAAATCTCTAAATGGAAGAAGAAATATAGAAAAAAAGCAAAGGTTTTCTTTCTTTCTTTCTTTCTTTTTTTTGAGTTGGAGTCTCACTCTGTCGCCCAGTCTGGAGTGTGGTGGCTCACTCTGGGCCACCCCAGTGTCGACCTGCTGGACTCCAGCCATCCTTTTGCCTCAGCCTTCCAAGTAGCCAGAACTACAGGCATGTGCTACCACGTCCAGCTAATTTTTGATTTATTGTAGAGACAAGGTCTTGCCATGTTGCCCGGACTGGTCTCGAACCCACGGGCTCAGGCGATCCACTCGCCTCAGCCTCCCAATGTGCCGGGATTACAGGCTGAGTCACCGAGCCAGCCAGCAAAGATTTTCAAACATACTGGCTGTTAGCCCTCCCATTCTTTTGAAAATGTAACATTTTGTTGTATCTCTCTGCATACCTGTTAAAGTTATAATTACTGGTTATATCTACTAGTGTTTTGTGGTACATTTTCAGGCAAACTGATGTACTCTTCTTTATTATATAGGTGAGACTATTAGGCTCAAGGGAGGTGGAATAATTTAATCTTGTGACTAATTAAAAGCAATGGATGTCAAGAACCCAAGTGAGGGAACTCCAAGGACACTGGCTTTTCCATTACCCTTCATTATTATCTCCCAATGTGAAATGTTGCTTTCTGAAACTATATTCCTTCTAATGAGCAGTGGTATTTTTTCCAGTCTCCATTAATAAATATCAATTTGTTTTTTTAACATCTCGGTTTTGTATATATGTACATGTTTGCATTTGTTTTATATGTAACATGAAGATATTTTGTTCTCAGATCTAACATTTTGGGTTATTATTAACTTACCTTAATTTTTGAGCTTGAAAATCATATACATGTGAAATCTGCTTCTTCTTTTGCAGCGGCTCTAATTAGAGGAAATCGTAAAAACTGTGCTCAATTTTCTGGCTCCCTGGACTGGTTGATCAGCAGATTGGAAAGACTCGAAGCTTCTTCTGGTACGTTTAACAGTTTTCTTTTTGGTGTGATATAGTATTACTGTTTTCTTTTTTTACTTGTTCTTTAAGATGTAAAGACAAACTTTGAGCTAGGTGTGGTGGTATTCATCTGTAGTCTTAGTTACTTGAAAGCCTGAGGCAAAATCTCAAAGCTTGAGACCAGGAGTTGGAGGCTACCGTGAGCTATGATGTCATCTCTGCCCTCCAGCCTGAGACAGAAAAGGGCCTTGTTTACTAAGAAAAAAAAAAAAAACCCTCTGATGTTCAGTGCAATATATGTGTTTTCCTTTTAATAGGATGAGCATTTTTATTTATTGATAAAATCATTAGTCTTTCATTAGTCTTACCGGAATAGCAATCTGACAGTATCCTGTCCATTTATAGTTTGAAAAGAAATCTATTTATGCAGTCTTGAATCAATTTCTAATTGATTAGTCCTAATGTATTTTATAAACAAAACATCAGTTCGGAATTCTCATTGTTTTCCTTGTGTTCAAACGATTCTTTCATCAGATTTGGGAGAAAATTAGTTTTCCAAATCATATAGTTGCACACTATTGTATTTAAACCAGATTGAGTGACTACTAATAAACAGTCTGTATAATAGTAAAATAGAGGCAATTCACCTGAAACACATTTCTAACCAGTATGTTAGTTTTACTTGGTGAGACTTCTCGGCGATTGTCTGTCTGAACTCTCCAGCACTGTAGACTGCCTCAGTGATACCCAAATGGAATCCATTGCTCCTCCATCTATTTGTACAGTGTTTCACTATTTGCCCTTCTGTGGCACTAATGTCCTCTTATGTTACTGCTTCCTCCCAGTGTCCTTCACTAGTAATGAATTTCTTGAAGGTGGGGGCATAATTTCATTCATCTTTGTTTTCTTTGAATCTACCCTACCATCTGGCCCTATGGGTGTTTAGTAGTATTTGTTGCTTGAATGAATATTTAAATTCACTTAAAAAATGCCATTGTCTATACAAAATAATTCTGTAATTTTTTTGTGTGTAAAGACCCATTAGGGATAGGTTTGTTGGAATTGAATGAAGAGAGCCATAGAACAACAGATGGTCGTGGTCAGGATAATTTTAAACCACAGAGCAAAACTTTAGAACTTAAGATATTGAAGGAAGTGGTCAGGCATGGTGGCTCACGACTTTGGGAGGCCCAGGTAAGAGGACCGTTTGAGGCCAGAAGTTTCAAGACCAACCTGGTCAACATAGCAGAACTCTTTCTTTACAAACAATAAAATAAGTGAGCTGGGCATGGTAGTATTTGCCTGTAACCCAACTACTTAGGAGGCTGACACAGAAGGATGGCTTGAGTCTAAAAGTTAAAGTTTACAGTGAACTGTGATTGTGTCACTGCATTCCAGCCAGTGTGGCAGGGCAAGACCTTGTCTCAAAAAAAATGAATGAAATGAATGAATGAATGCATCAATAAATAAATGAATGAATGAATAAATATGCATATTACAGGACAAGTAATTGAGTAACAATGAGTTCTAAGACTGCTATATTGTTGGGTGGCAGAAATAGGGTAGAGATGGAGATTGTTGTATTCACAAAGGCACAGACATTATGAGATGAGGGTGTTATAACATGAATGAGTGTCATAACATGAATCAGGTAATTGTGCATTAATTGCAGAATATATTAAACAAGGAAAAACCTTAATAACTACTAGGAGGAAGAAATGATCAATGGTAACAAGATGATGGCATAGATTACAAAAATTGATAAATTATGGCATCAAATTGTCCAGAATCATTGGCAAAATACAGTGGAGATTTTTAAGAATGCTGGTCTCTTTTCCTGATCCCAATATCTGGAAAAAAAGAGGCACAGGGCTGCCTTCAAAGCAGAGTGTCAATGCTAGACGAATCAACTGTATAGCAAAATGCTAAAATCAAAAAAGAACAGAGACAGAAGGAAAGAATAAAGCCAAGCATCCTTTAAGGTCAGCCAAGGAGAATCCATGTTTATAGAGTCTTCACTTTGGTCAGTTATAGACACAGTTCCACTAGTTACAAATTGTTATATGCTATTGTCTTTTTCCAGTCAAGCTGTGAGTTACAGCCGTTTCTACTTAAAATGGAAGCCCTGCATGCAGAGATAGCTTATCTCTGCACACAGAGAATGCCCCTTAGAGAATGTTTAATCTGATATTCTCTCTTTAGAAAAAAGGAAATCGAGACCTCAAACACTTAAATGACTGATTTGAGATGCTACAATTAACTATTGTTACAGCTACAACGTCCTAGCATCAGACTTGAATTCAGTTCACTATACCTTGTAGCCTCCTGGCTTTTAAACATCTTAAATATATTTCACTAAACAATTTTCTCTCCTGTAGTTACAGTTATGCTTTTGATGAACTGTTTTTTTTCCCCAGAGGAAGTAAAGTGCAGCTTAGGTTTTAGAGACAGTAACAATATGCACATGTATATAATTTATTTCAGTCATGTTTTGTTATTTACTGAGAGCATGCATATGCATCATTTTATTCTCTTACTCTAATAATTCTGAGACTGCTGAACGTACACTCTCCTCAGCTTGTTAATGTCCCAGCTACAGATTTAAACTGGAAAATACTTGAATAGAAAAGGCAAAGGGGCTTTTTTTCCTTTTTCACAAAAGGGTGAAAGTAGGGCTAATTAGTCTTCCTGGGATCTAGAACCTTCTAGTATTTGCTGTCTTGGCAGATCTCTGGTGCTTTGAGGAAGGTATAGATATAGGTGTGTGTGTGTGTGTGTGTGTGTGTGTGTGTGTGTATCTTGCCCTACTTTTATGGTAGTTTTGGTTGAGGGTTGATCCGAAACACCTGATCTGCCATTGCCAGAAGCAGAAAATGTCCTGGATTATTTTTAAAAAGAAAACATTGAAATAAAGTGATCATCCATAGGTGAACAGATAAATTGTATTGCAACAAATATTTTCAAATATTTTATAGATATTAAAAGAATTGTTGAAATCTATATCCTGGAAAATATTTAGGATATATTAAAAGTGAAAATTCATTTGGAGAAATGTATGTGATGGAATATAATTTTGTAGAAAAATAAAGAAACAGAAAGGAAGGCAGGAAAGAAAGAAGGGAAAAATTCTATGTAATATATGTGCATCTTTATATGTATGGGATGTAGAAAGAAAGATACATGCAAACTGTTTACATTAATGACCAAGGAGTTGGAATTTGAAGAAGAAAAAAGCAAAGCAATAAGTTTCTTAGAACTGGGAAATCAGATATCAAAACCTACGATAAATAGACAAATGGGAGGAAGTTGATTAGACCCAAAGGACTGAGGATCTCGTAGAAGAAAAGATCTGACGACTGCTAGCACCAACCTTCTTTTCAACCCTCATTTTATTTTATTTTGTTTTCATTTTGCTTTCCCTTCATTACTCTCTACACCCTTCCACCAACATAGAACCAAGGGAAATATTGATAAATACAAGATGACCTCTAAATTTAAATGGCCAATAGACCTCCCTCTAATATTATTACAAAGCAGTAATATCTTTTCAACATTTCCAGAATTTATTTACAAATGTGTTCACAGTGTCATGAATCATATCTTCAGTCATTTCTGTTGCTAGTAGTGATTTAAAAGAAGAAAAAGCTCATAGATATAGAATGGGAAAGGAAGCATGAGTAGAAACATGAATGGAGTAGAGGTGTGCAGGGAGTGACAGGTGCAAGTAGCTGAGCTGGTCAGTCAGGCCTGTTGGGCAAGAGGTTTAAAGCAGACAGATTTGGTCATCCTGTCCAGGTAACAGGTTTTACCCAAAGCGTTCCTAGCTCGATACTCTGTATATGTCTGGGACCACAGTAAGTCTTAGGAAGTCAGAATAAATACCTATACATAAAATAAGAAAAAATTAATGTTGTAGGGAGGAAGGTGTAGGTTGGCTAATTCAGTATCCCTGGACTCCATTCTCCCATTCCTTGCCCTCTTTAGTGTTAGACACTGAAAAGCAAAACTCTCTAAATCATGGTCTCAGCTGAAAACTGAGGGTACCCATGTTGCCCTGTTCTGGCCTGTGTTCCCAGGTAAAATCCTGGGAGAGCTTTGCTTCCCAAAGAAAGCCTTTCTAGGAGTAAAAGCCAGGTCCTTTCTTAATCCCTTTGCCTGGAACAAAAGTACAGTAACTAGTAGTCAGATGCCAGCTGTCAGCATAAGAGAAAAGGACCCATAGGAAGGAAGGACTGGGGAACAGAAACATGGAAGGAATCTGGGTCACTGATGGTGTGGAACTAACATGCTGCTGACGTCATGACCCCTTCCTGGTTCAAGCTAGGGTTGTAGAACTTTCCCTTATTTTCAACGAAATGCCATGTTTACAAAGGGCCTCTTAGGATATGTAGTGTCTCTAGCAAGACAACTTTGTAAGAGCCTAACTGAAATTCTTGGAGGGACACAGCTCACTCAATAAGTATTTATGTGCCAGGTACTGTTTTATGTGCTTTATAAACATAGATCTTTTAATCCTCATGGCAACCCTATGGGATAGGTTTTGGTCCTCATTATTGTCCCCATCTTATAGATGAGGGAACTGAGACTCAGAGAGATGGACTAACTGGGCCAACACAGAGCCATATCTCAGACCCAGGCAGTTTGGCACCAGTAACTTTGATCTTAACCATCTCACCACGCTCTTTCCTAAAAGTTCTTGATGAGTATGGGATTATTAATGGGAATAAAATAATGTATCATTATGTTGACATGATGTTCTCTTAGTTTAGAGTTCTCTTGTCATCTTTTGTATTCTTTTTATTTATAAAAATCTAAAATTTCTAAGCAAGCTTTCGTGGGCCTTTTCTTGATCTTATTTTCCTTGTCCTTCTTAGTATATTCTTAAATTCCTCAATTATATTTGCATTTATAAATACCACAGTGGGAAATTATCTGTGGCTACAAAATTAGGAAATAGAAAGGTGACCTGAAGGAGATCAGGCATTTATAGTGGATGTGGCAGCAAAAACATTAGAATCACC